TTTAGTTGTATTTAGATGTATAATTCTCCACATCACTCCGAAAAGTTATATGCCAACTCTAATACATTAATTTATACGTTTAGAATCCTGAACACATAAAGTTTCTAAATTAAGGTTGGCAACAAACTTTAAATGTTTTTCCACATAGAAATCTAGGTAGGCAACCTAAAGCATGCTATAATATAAATCATTTAGCACATAATAACAATTAAAGCACATAGCTTAAGTATTCTAGTGATTGTGTCAATTCATGTATACAACCTAAAATATTTTAAACACACACCTCACTATCATTACTTAGCATTTTAGGTTTTGAGTCTAGATTTTCCCAAAATTTCTAGTTCGACTAAACTAATACTCTGATACCAACTATGACATCCCTAATGTCAACTTTGAGCCACCTTTCCAGGGGGAGAATCAGAATCCAGAGGATGATATTCATACATCATTCGAGTGGGAGAATAGAAATGTGAATGATGATTCGGATGTACAATCAGAGTTTAAAGAAGTAAATGTTGAATTGGATCCATCATATAATCCAAATTACCTTACATTGGCTAAATGGACCAAAGATCATCCGAAAATCCAAGTCACAGGAGATTCATCTTCAGGTGTTCTTACGAGAGCTCAACAAAAGGCGAAGCGAACTGTACTATTCTCTAAAGTGGAATTTTGCATCTTCAATTCGTTTATCTCCAAGATTGAACCTAAAAATGTTCAAATTCCTCTTGATCACTCTAATTAGGTTCAAGCAATGCAAGAGGAGCTCAACGAATTCGAACGAAACAAGGTCTGAAGACTTATTCCCACTCTAAAGGATGCATTCATTGTTGGTCTTAAATGGATATTTCGCAACAAACTAGATAAAGAGGGTAATGTGATCAGAAACAAGGCGAGACTTGTTGTCAAAGGGTATTGTCAAGAAGAGGGTATTGAATACGAATAAACCTTTGCACATGTTGCAAGGTTGGAATCTGTCGCATCTTCTTGGCATATGCACTGCATAAGAACTTCGAAGCATTTCAGATGCATGTCAAATGTGCATTCTTGAACGGGGAACTTGAAGAGACAATTTTTATGGAGCAAACACTTTGATTTATAAACAAAAAATATCCCAATCACTGCTATATTCTAGACAAAGCGGTCTATGGTCTAAAGCAAGCTCCAAGAGCCTGGTATGAAGCTCCTACTCACTTCTTAAAACAGGCTAAATTTAAACAGGGATCGGTCGACTCAACCTTCTTTTGCAAGAAAGATGGTGACCACTTGATGATTGTCCAAATTTATGTCGATGACATCATCTTCGGATCAATTAACCCCAGATTAACAGCTGAGTTCCGAAAGTTGATGGAGACTAAATTTGAGATGAGCTCCATGGGTCTGATTAACTTTTTCCTTGGATTGAACATAAGACAGAGTCAAGAAGGTATGTTTATCAACCAGGAGGCCTATACAAAGACTTTGTTCGCTAAGTCTGGAATGGTTGGCGAATCAAAGGTGAAAGTTCCAATGGCATTCAGAATGAAACTTACTCCATCTCTGGATAAACCGGTTGCAGACAAGACACTATATCGTCAAATTATAGGTTCTTTAATGTTTCTAACTATTAGTCGTCTAGATATCATGTTTTTGTTTGCTTTTGTGCTAGGTTTCAAGCGAATCCTCGCGAACCTCACATGACCACTGTCAAGAACATATTCCAGTATTTAAAACGAACATCTTCACTTAGAATATGGTACCCGTTGATGTCTAAATTCTTTGTGCAAGCATTTTTGGATGATGATCTTGGATGATGCGGTTTAGATCGAAAGAGCACAACTGGGGGATGTCAGTTGGCAATCCAAAATGCAAACCTGCATTTCCTTGTCAACAGCAGAAGTTGAGTATATTGCTGCTTCCTCTTGCACTTCGCAAGTCATATGGATTTAGAACCAACTTCGTGACTATGACATACATATGAAGCGAATCCTTTTGTATTGTTACTCTGAAAGCGTTATTTGCATTTGTTATAACCCCGTACAACACTAAAAGACGAAGCACATAGCATTGAGGTATCATTTCATCAAAGATCATGTGGAAGATGGAAATGTTGAGATACACTTTGTAAGATCCGTTGATCAGTTAGCCAACATCTTCACGAAAGCCTTACCTGAACAATCATTCAATCGCATTCTTCAAGGCTTAGAAATGATAGAGGCTGAATCTGTTCCGAAACCACTTTTTGTAGTTACAAGTTTTTGACTGACATGTGAATTGGTGCGAACACTCACAGTGATTCACAATCATCTTTTATCCTTTAAATCAGTGCGAACGCTCGTAGTGACTCGCAACCAACTGTTCACACTGCGAATTGATGCAAATGTTTCTAGTAACTCATAGTCCACTATTCATTCGTGGTTTGGAATTTCCTTGTATCCTTTGTACATTCACTTCATTTATTCTTATTTATTTGTGTTTTTATTTCTTTCTAGAAAAACAAAATCCAAAAATATTTTATTTATTTTTAAGAATATCAAAAATGCAAAAACATTTTCTATTCCAGTCAATTAATCAAAAATACCAAAAAAATTGCATTGTTGAGTAGGATTGAAGATTCATATCATGTTTATCTCAATTACGAATGATAGGGCAGGTTGTTCATTCACATAAGTCTTGAGCTACCTGATTATGAGTTAAGAGTTCGCTGCTTGGTTACCTTCATACACTATTTTCTTTGGAACCACCTCATACTCTTCTCCATCACTTTTGCATTCACCAATGTAACCCTCGAGACTCTCAGATATTACCACTAAGGTTTAAGGTTACATAACTTCTGTGTTTATGATCTTCAATTCATAATCATCATGATTTAGTGAAACCCAAAATCCAACACACTTTCATGCATTGACGGTGAACAACTAATTGTTCTAGATTTTTCACCAACGAATTAACGGAAGTCCACTTTCATGGTCTGTACCAAGAAATATCTTTTTATTTTTCGAGATCTTAATGAAATGTTCTAGACCTAAAACATTTCTATGTGAATCCATGTCACTTAAAATAATTCCAAAGCATACTTGTTCATTTTAAAATAATTCCAAAGCATACTTGTTAATTGACTACACTAGTCAAACAAGTACTTCATTCGAACGTTCGGACTTATATCAAGTTTTGTAGTTTGGTTGGAGGTGAAGCCACCCTATAAGCTTTATAAAAGATACCTTTCATTATTTCTTATTAAACTGTTGATCGTAGTTCAATGGGAAATGAAACAAATACTTCGTAGTCTTTCTTGACTTTGAAGGAAGAGATCTTTGCCCGAGATCCACTGTTTGGTGTCTTTACAAGACATCACTAATATCCCACAAAACTTTGATTTATTTCTTTATCTTCGACACACTCTCGCACGAAGATCCTTGTTATTTTCAAAAGTATGGTTCATGGTACCCAAGATTACTTTAAGTTTCACAGATCAATTGATAATGTTTCACTGCGAAGGTTTGTATCTACACTAGATGTGAAAAGGGCTTATCAGTATTAAATGCAAAAGACGGGAATTGAATCAATTACGAAAGGGTGAAGCTGAAGCGGCAATTTTTCATGGATAAGAATTAAAATGGGCACGTGAAATTTGAAACGATGCGTGCTTTTCCGCTGCCTGACACACATGCCTGACGTAACAGTTGTCAGTCACGCCTTTATAGGTGCCTTTTCAGTAACCGATGCAACCAATCGGCTGATTTCTCTCACCTAATACTCCATATAAAAGGATTTTGACGCTTCATTCCTTAATTACTACTCTCAAAAGGCAAGAAAATCCTCTTGCAAGTATATATAACTGTTTATCGTCTTCTTCATCAAGCTTCAATGGCAGCTTCTTTAGAGACACCCTCAATCGCAGAAAATGTGACCCGGTCATCTCTTCTGACCCTGAAAGCAAATCAGAACATGATTCTTGATCTTGATCCGATGAAAGACGAAGGGTTTCTCCAACCAATTTTTGAGTGTCTCGGGTATTCTCCTCTGGTCATAGATCTTACCAAGTTTGAGTGCGTTCCTCTGGTGCATCTTTCTTGAGCCTTCTCCACTACCAGCTATCAAAAGGGGAAGAGTTAGTCACTTTCAAAATCCACAACCACAAACCCGTATCACAAAATCAAGATTTTGTCAACTTCTACGACTTCCTTAGGGTCGTGACCAAGTTGATCCTGAAAGCGTCTCAAATTCATCAATTCTATAGATGTTCTTCCAGATGGGTTACAAGGGACCCATCAATGTTGTTTCCAAGTTTAAAAAGCCTAACCTGCCACCGATGTGGAGTGGCTTATTTATGCTGCTCTTCAAGAGCTTCTATAAACGGGTTACAAGCTTGGATTGTGTGCACAAGCTCTTTATGACACTAATGTACGACATCTATTCTGGCATCAACTTGGACTACGGGTCCGTTCTCTTGGCATAATTTGTGCAAAGCACACTCTCAACCACTCGACACAGTGAAATATATTGTGCTCACTTTTGGTCCATAGTAGTTCAAAAGGCAATCAACAAGTTTGACATCCCCTATCCAGAAGGTTCGACCCTGGCTTCTATCCAGGTGTTCCATACAACGAACATCATTATCGCTGGCAACTCAAAATTTGCTTTTATTGGTTCAATTCCAGAAGTCATGCTTTGTGATATTCCAACATCAAGCGAGACTCTTCTAGTATATCACAGTTTGCCCCTCTTCGGATTTCACCCATTGATGGATGACATATGAAAGGTCCTTGAAGAGAAAGATAAACTTGAGAAGGGAAGGATGAAGAAAGGAATGAAGGTTGGTGCATCTGAACCAACTCCATCTCCAAAGAAGAGTACGAAACAAAAGTCTGAGGCTGAACTGTTAGCACCAGCTAAAGCTCCTAAGAGGAAGAAAGTCATGAAAATGGCACGTCAACCACGAACTTCGAATGATCATTAGGATTCACAATCTTAGACGGTTTCGTAGGTTCTTATTCAAATGTAGGTTTGCAATGAAGAAGATGTTTCTTCTCATCAGAAAGTTTTGGAGCCGGCCACTTCGATTCCTGAGGTATCAACTACAATCCCAACTTCTGTTCCCATACATGAAGATTTTTTCCAAAGTTTTTCTATCCCTTCTCCCACTACCACTATTTCCACTCCCATTTCGATTGACCATCACATCATTCCTTGACACCCTTACTAAAGAGCATTCCGCCAACCTTGAGAAGACAAACAAGGAGGTCGACACATTTGCTTCTGTATGCAATGAAACGACCAAAAATGTCGATAAACTAATTAAAGATGCTCATGCGTTCATGGAGAAATTCCAGAGCTCATTTGAGTCCAATACCACAAAGGCTAATGAGGTTATTTCTAGACTGGGCTCAACTCTTAAAATAGAGAAGGCAAAACTTGAAGTAGTTCGCACTGGTCTTCAAACTGACCACTCTGAGTTCAGTTCCTCTATCTCCTATAAGATCACAAAGCTTTAGGATGACTTGACCATGGAGAGCAAAATAATGGATGCAATTAATGTAAAGAATGAGAAGGTAAAAGTCTTGACAGTCAAGTTAGAGAATTCTGAAAAAACAAGTCAATGATTTGTTATCTGAAAGAGCAGATATGAAGAGTTGTATACCGGATATCAATGGACTGCTTTCAAATATTATTAAGACTTGTGACTCCATGATTACAATAACGATCAAGAAGCATATTTAAGAGAAACTCAGGCCTGTTTTCGCTATGCTCAATCACCTGGAGGGTGTTCTGGAATTTGGCTCAATTCCAAACAAGGGGGAGAAGAAGGGAAACAATTTAAAAAGGAAAACCCCAAGTCTTCTGCCAAAGCCACAGTGAAGCCCAAAAGCGAATATGAACCAAAAGGAAAAGAAAAGCTTTTCAGTGAACAACCAATTATCAATAACAGCAAAGGTGAAGAGCCTGATGAGAATGAGTTGAAAAGAAGAAAGGAACGTGAAGCACAGATGGATTAACATCAAAGAATTATTCACGAAGCTGAAGAAAAGGAAAAAGATGAATGCGAAGCTCAGGCCGCACTGGAAAGCCGAAAAAACTTGTTTCCAGTGTGGACCTTAAAGCGAATCTTTAATGAAGCTGTTGATATGCGAAGTCAGTATTGGTTGGAACCAGTTGTGTCATTCGACCTTCATAATACACTAGATTCGCAGCTGGACATTCCAATCACTCAGAAAGCCTTCAAGTTTCATAGCTTTGTGAAAGTTACGAATGTTCCAGCAACAGAAAATGGTGTCGATCACTTACTATTTTCCTTTTACCTCAAGCATATGAAGCCTCAATACGAGACGTAGAGTGCGAGCAACATTACGGTTGTGAAGTTAACTAGTCCAATCGAAACCAACAGCTTCTGAAATGCGAAGTTTAAAGTTGCGAGAGGTTCGTCTAGTCAGGTCTGTGAATTCACCCTTGTTGATCTGCCATGCCTTGACCCATATGATTGGATCATGCTTTACGACTTTTTGATGAGGGAGGGACAAAAGTATGAGCCCATCATTACTCACCTCAAATAGATGATAATTTCATATATTTATGAGGTTGGGCAGATGGATGTTGAAATTGCTGCCGAGTTGCGAAAGAAGCCAAGTGTACTCCAAAAATATAACCATGATGGTTTTGACAAGATGAAAGTTGGGAAGATATAAAAGAACGGATGGTATGTGGCTTTTCAACTGAAGGAGTGAACTGATGTAGACTTTCACAAATTTTGTTTCTTTCTCAGCGACAAACATTTATTCATCACTTCGTGTCTGGAGTATATCTTGGACTTTGTCAACAAGTAACATGGTGACAACAAAGGTAACAAGAAGTGCTTCTCGGATATGATTCAATGGTATATCCAAGTTTGCAAGGTTCTGCTGAGCGTCATTCTGAAAGTTTTTGAAGTGCAGAAGTGAACCTAACCGTGAAGTACTCTCGCCTCAATCGACACAAAGGGGGAGATTGTTGAGTATTTTAGTGTTGCGTCTTTTGGGCTTTTTTCTTAGTATTTTGTATATCTTGGTTGGGCTTGTCCACCCGTGTTTAATGATCAGGGTATTACTATTTAAGGTGCATGGATGCATGCATCGTGTACAAGGTAATCGTGTCATTGTAAACCCTACACAACCTCTACAATAGCAGTTCTTCATCGAGCTCTTATGAGGCTATGACTTTTAATCATTCAACATATTGTTGATTCATATTCTATTATTTATTGTTTTTACTTGTTGAATCTAATCGATCTTAAGAGTTTTAACTCATCATATGAGTTAGAAGATGATTTGTATGAAGAATTGGAGATAATAGATGAAGACACGGGTAAGGACAAAGAGGAGTCAACCACGGTCAAAATAGAGTTTGATATGAAAGATCCTAAGGAAGATAATAAGAATCTAAACAAGGAAAAGAAGTAAAGTAAATGAGTAAAATGCAAGCATGAGGATATTTCAAGCAAAATGAAGAAGGGGAATTCGAAGAAGGCATAAAAGAGAAGGGTTTAAGCATTCAAGTGAAAATAGAAGGAGAAAAAGGAGATTCTACTCCCAACCACAATAACATAGAGTAGGAAGGAGTCTTACTCATGACTCCTCAAAAAGACGTGCTTCTAGGGAGGCAACCCGATTTTTAGAATTTGCTTTTTCCTTTTGATTTCTTTTACATTTTTAGTTTTAGTTTTCATTTTTAAATTTAACCAATTGATCATGTGTTTCTCTAGTCTTCTGATTTTATTTTGTAGTATTAAAAAGAAGGAAATGAAGCAATAAAGGAGCTTAATGGATAAGAAGTCGTGAAATTTTTGAAGATCACAATTGAAGACCCTGCTTTTTAGATAAGTGTGAGGCTCCCACATAAAGAAGAAATAAGTTCTTAAAATATAGTTTAGTAAAATAGAAGATTAGGAATAGTCCTTAACATTACGAAGAGTTGATGCATTAATTTTGATTTTAAAAGTCAATCTGAGAAGGAACCATGACGTGAACATCGTCAACACGTCGTGACAAAAGATTTTATCGTGGCTGCATCTAAATACACCACGTTGTGGCTTTACTTAACCACGTTGTGTGATCTTATTTTTATCGACCATATACGACTTCCAGCTTTACACCGCGTCGTTGTGTTACTTTCCCATGACGTGGCAGAGGATAAACACACTTTATTTGAAGATGGTTCTTTGATTTATTCTGATCCGGCACATTTGTATTCACATGAGAGCTCCAACCTCCGAAGTACTGTTTCCAACCATATTATGAGAAGTCCAAGCTTTCCACACACTTTTAGAATTCGATCTTTCTACTACTACCAAAGGGGAGTCTATTCCAATTTTCTCTCTTTAATTAAATGTTCTTTTATTATTTTAACATGTAATGGGGACATTGCATCATTTAAGTGTGGGGTAGGGGCTAAATATAGGAATATAAGCTTACTAATAAAAATTGAAATAAATGAATAGGATTTAAAAAAAAAATATTAGAAAGATTTGAAACAATAATCTAAAACTAAACCTAGTTAAAAAAAATTGTTATGTTGAGAACTAGGTTGCTAGTGTTTTGTGGGACGATCCGATGCGAGTTTCGATGTTTATTAAAGCAAATATATGTTATAGTGTATTTGTGGCTTCCCTATCCAAGTGAAATCATGTAACAAAAAACACGACCTTTCTTAGTTTGAGGGCCGCAATATGTTTAGTATCATGTACCCGAAATGTATCCATGAGAGCTTATGTAGTCATTGCACATAAACTAATGCCTCTAACCAATAAGGGTCAAACTTAAGTTCCCTTACTTAAGCATATGTTTTTATAGGATTTTTAGCTTTTGAGTGAAAAGAAGGAGACTGAAGACCACGTCGTGGTGATGTAACCACGATGTGGTGATTAGATTATTCGTGACTATCACACCCTCGAACCAGGACGGCGGAAACGTCCGAGGGTAGATGACGTGTTATAAATTGGGGTATAGTAAGGCTTGGAATTCCGAGAATTGTGTAATACACTTTCAGATTAAAGCATTTGGGTGATACTCCCAATATTCTTTAATCGGATAAGACTCAGAGAGACAAGAATTTAGAATGCTTTGATGATAGTTTCGTCTGTACCAGAAAAATGAGACCAAAACCGAATTTATGATCTTTGTCTGAAAACTATCACATGACAGTTTCTAACTGTCATAAACTATAAAAACTGACATAAAACGGAAGTTTGGATAAGGGTCAAACAATGGTCAATTCTCTGAAAATACGATTTTCTAATGCATTTTTTATAAACTATACCAGGCAGGGGCTCTGCCCCTTGGACCCTGCTCCCAGGGGTGCTGCCCCCGGACCCCTGTTCGTTTAGGGGCTTCGCCCCTAAAGGACAGTGTACTTTGAAAACTTGATTAAACTTAAACAAGTGTGTACTCCACACCTTCCTTACTTGTTTAATGTTTATCAAGATCACCTTTGGTCAACAAAGTAATCCCATTACACTTAAATAATATTGATGACAACAAATCACCTACATGACGTCATTGTATTGTATCATCACAATTGAATATAAATGGATAAAGCAACCCACACAACATACATTAAGAGATACCAACATATATGGTTTACATATTGTATTTGTTCTTGAATTACATAAAAGTGACATAAAATTTAGAAGTTCCAAAATGCAAAAAATCCAAATATTAGGTACCTGCTTACTGGTTCCCTGAGAATACAAGTCATTTTAAAAATCATCAACATTGAATGTTGGTGAGTTCATAAGCATATTTGTATGAAAAGATTTGTAAAATCTTTGTTTGAAAATAGTGGTGTATCTCTAGAAAATCTGATATCTTCTATGAAAATGTTTTGTAAGCCTTGTTTCCAAACTGTGAATATATGCATGCATGTCCTTGGTTTTCTTTTGTTTGAAATAGTAAATTGTATGTTCCCATAAAATCCTATATTTTATTTAGTATGAAAACTGTGGTCTAAAACCCTAGACCAGTAGTGGTAAAACAATAGTATGCCGGGAGGAAAAATGCAGTTTTATATTTATAAAACCGGTGAAGTTAAGCTTCCCGTATATCAAGATAGTATTGTTAATCCCTAAGTGAGTTATTAAAACCATTCTTGATGTGACTGTTATGCCTTTTAGGACGTTCTTCAAGCATCAGAATCGGTATGATATATGTCACCCTAGACTGGCCACGTCTAGCTATAGTGAACAACTCCAGTGTAGGGGTGTCAATCCCCATATAGATCTATACATAACTATCTCGCTCTCCCTCCAGGAGACTCTGGTTACAATATAGGACTTAGAATGTACACTTGGTAGGTACGATAAGATAGTGTCTCATTAGAGCCTTAACGGATTTACGTGAACTTTGACTCCATTTATTGAATAATGAAAATGACATTACTAGTGTGAATTGATGACTGAATTTTTATGACACGTGATTCACAGGTTTCATGACTCGTTTATGACACACGTTTTATAGATTTCATGACA